AGACAAATTGGAGGATTGGGCCACAAGAAATCTGATGAGGTTCAACAAGGACAAGTGCAGAATCCTGCACTTGGGACGGAAGAATCCCAAGTATAGTAGTAGTCCCCAGTTAAATAGTAGTCCTGCAGAAAAGGACCTGGGGGATACAGTGGATGAGAAGCTGGATATGAGTCAACAGTGTGCCCTTGTAGCCAAGAAGGCTAATGGCATATTAGGTTGCATTAAGAGGAGCATTGCCAGCAGATCCAGAGAAGTGACTATTCCCCTTTATTCGGCTCTAGTGAGGCCACATCTGGAGTATTGTGTCCAGTTCTGCCCTCCCTCCCCCCACTACAAAAAGGATGTGGACGCATTGGAGAGGGTCCAGCGGAGGGCAACCAAAATGATTAGGGGGCTGGAGCATATGACTTATGAGGAGAGGCTAAGGGACTTGGGTCTATTTAATCTGCAGAAGCGAAGAGTGAGGGGGGATTTGATAGCAGCCTTCAACTTCCTGAAGGGAGGTTCCAAAGAGGATGGAGAGAGGCTGTTCTCAGGAGTGACAGATGGCAGAACAAGGAGCAATGGTCTCAAGTTGTGGTGGGGGAGGGCCAGGTTGGATATTAGGAAAAACTATTTCACTGGGAGGGCGGTGAAGCACTGGAATGGGCTACCTAGGGAAGTAGTGGAGTCTCCATCCCTAGAGGTGTTTAAGTCTCGGCTTGACAAAGCCCTGCCAGAATGATTTAGTTGGGATTAGTCCTGCCTAGAGCAAGGGGCTGGACTTGATGACCTTCTGAGGTCTCTTCCAGCTCTATGATTATATGATTCTATAAGCTTACAATGCTGGAGTCTCAATTGTCACTGGGAAATCTCTTCAGTGCTAGAAAAATTCCCAGTGCCACTCCCACACCACAACACCTGCTCTGTCCTTCTATTTTGTACCCTGCTATGACATTGTCCCATTGATTGTCCTCATTCCACCAAGTTTCTGTGATGCCTTGTATATCAATGTCCTCACTCAATATGAGGCACTGTAGTTTACCCATCTAGCACATGAAGCACAGCTGCTGGTAGCACCCCATGCTGCCTGGGCCCATATGCCCCTAGCTTGTTACTTCAATGGCACTTGCTGAGGCGATCATGGAGGGTATGGGAAGTGTCCTACTGTGGTAGAAATAAGGCTGTCATCCCTAGAAACTTTGAGAGACCTGCTGAGTGCTTCCAGTTTTATCCAGATCTCTTAGGAGGATTCAGGGGACACCCCAGTGTACATAAGCAAACAACTCTGAATGCCTCCCCTCCTCTTTGCATGGCAGGGGCCTGTGTCTTGGTCTCATCAACGATATCCACAGTGCTTTATGGCACGCTGGTGGGGTATATACCAAGTGGTGTAGTGGCAGGCAGGTAGGAGTAAAAGCAGCAGGCATGTGGCTTGACACTGATTAGACTGTTGGCTTCTCCAACTTTTTGGAATACCGGCTGTAGCTCCTTCACTTTCACAAAGCATTGCTGCTGATCCCCATCATACCACTCTCCTGCATTCCCTGTACAGTCCTCTTAACGATTCCACATTTGTACAGCTGCTCTTGAACTGTACCTGCACAGCCTCTTCTCTCCACATGCCTAGGAGGTCCAATACCACCTCTCTATTCCAGGCTGGAGCACAACTGCAGCAGGTAGCTGGCATGACTGGTGAGGCAGTTGCATGCAACAAGGGAGAATTGGTAGGTGTGCTCACCAAGCTAAACACATCAGGAAAAAGCCTTTCAAACATACACAGTGGGTTGTGCCCACGAAAGCTCATGATTTCCAGGTGTCCGGTATTCACCCGGACAGTCCAGTATTTTTGCCTCCTGTCCGGTAAAAAAAAATATCAGAAAATACCAGACACCTAATATGTCCGGTATTTTCTGATTTTTTTCCCTGGCCAGGAGATTAAAATGCTGGGCACCTGGCAACCCTACAAATACTCAGTGCCCGGCCTCTCCCCTCCTCCCCCCCGTAGTCCCCTGACCCGATGCTTACCTGGCTCTGCAAGGCTGCCGGCACAAAATGGCTGCCGGCAAAAAGACCAAGGGGAAGCAATGACTCCCCTGGGTCTTAGTGTTCAACCGCTACCCTGTTCCCATCTCTACTCACTCTTAAGGGGACATGCTGTTTTATATAATTTTTTTTGGGGGGGGAGGGCTCAACAACTTTGGTCTCTCCCCCCCTCCCCTTTTTTTTCTTCAATAGAATTTTTTCCCGGTATTTTGGCTGCCGGCAAAAAGACCAAGGGGAAGCAATGACTCCCCTGGGTCTTAGTGTTCAACCGCTACCCTGTTCCCATCTCTACTCACTCTTAAGGGGACATGCTGTTTTATATAATTTTTTTTGGGGGGGGAGGGCTCAACAACTTTGGTCTCTCCCCCCCTCCCCTTTTTTTTCTTCAATAGAATTTTTTCCCGGTATTTGGGGGCGGCGGGTGGGGGAGGGGGCGATTCAGTATTTTTGTTTCAATCATCTGGCAACCCTATATACCATCTACATGTTTTGTTAGCCTTTAAGGTGTTACTAATCTATTTGTTGTTTTTTATGCGTTTCCAGTTACAGACTAATTTGGCTACCCCTCTGAAGCTTTTGAGGTATTTTAATGGGAGGGTAGGGTAGAGTCTAGTCTCCATGAATCCTGGATAGTGGAGTTCACACCTGTGACCAGAGAGGTCAGTGTCAGGCATTGCAGGACAACTGCTGGAAAACTGTTAGAGTCAACATAAGTCATGCAATATCTATATTCACATTGAATCAATTATACCATGTTGACCTGGCTAAATGCCATTGACGGAGCTGGTGTTTAATTATGCTGCCGTAATGGTGCACTTACATCAGTGAGAGATTAATTTGAATGTAGACATATACATAATTAGGTTGAGGCCAGGTACTGTGCATTTACCTAACTTTGTAGTATCAACCAGGCAGTTACATGTGATATGGTTATCTGTTGGCAAAAGTGTGTAAATGGCAGTAAATTTAAAAGTATGAATTTATAATGGACCTTGAGGCATGCTGTATTAGCACCAATGTCATCAACTAACCTGAAAAGCCCCAACACACAGAATGTCTTTGTATTAAGTGAATTATGTCTTATAAAATCAGTTACAAAGGGAAATGGAAGGAAGGGAGATATTAAATACACACAGTTTTCAAAGCAGCTTTTACATTTTTTTCTTTAAAGTGAATTTAGCACAGATGAAAGCTGCCACAAAAACAGACTCTGGTATTTTGCAAGAGGCAAAAGCAGTTCAAGCTTTCCACGCTCATGCTGTGACCAGCCAACATGCATCAGCAGAAATCTGAAAGGACTCATAAGAATGAAAAGGAAGGTCACTGTTGTGATAATTCAGCCTATACATTTACCCATGTTGTGAACTTCTGTGTAAAAAATATGGAAAAGGTCATAAAAATGTTAAAATGATCTCTAGTAACAAATAATTACGGGGAAAGATATGAAAGGGAGATAGAATAACTCAATCACTCTAAACAAAAAGGCCACGCTGATATGGTTCTAGGACTGTGATAAAATTATACTGGTTAAAAACAGGAGATATGGAGACAAACGTTAAAGAGCCAAAATTGATATATCAGATACTAGACCTACATGGTGGACAAAATGATGAAGTGATGGGCTATGCCACCCATCCCTCCCTTTGGGGTCCTTTAAAGAAGAGCTTTGGAGGGGAAAGTGCAAAAAACAACAGCAACAACAACAAAGAACAGACAGGAAGAACTGACAGAACCTACTGAAGTGAGCTTCACCATCATGGCTGCCTTGCCACTGTTCCTTTGGCCCAAAACCTTTATCATCCTGATCTTAAGAAATGTGTTGACCACCCCAGGCCAAAAAGAAGTACCCAGATGACACTGCCATGCTATCAGCTCCAGCTGAATCTCAAAAATCACATGGGATGAAAGGACTTTAATAGCAGACAAAAGCTACAACTTAACTTCTCTCCTTTTTTTAACATGACACTTATTACCAGGGCTTGCCGAACCATGGCAGCCCCGATCGCCAGCCGTGCTGTCTGGCGGAGGCTTTTTTATGCAACATTTAGGGCTAATCCTTGGACCCACTAAAATCTCCCATTGACTTCAAATTGGACCAGAATTCATTCTCTAAGTGACAAGCCAGACTGGACAGATGTTTATTTAAATGAAATACACTGGATTAACAAGCACTGGAGCAAAAGAACTCTCTTTGTGCAAGAACAAATACAATACCATAGCAGCACTAATGGCTTCAACTCTGCCCAGGAAGAATTAAGTCAAGGAATCATGTGTCTCTACAACTTACTTAATGTTTGGACTCTCTGCTTGCATTGCCATCAAGAGGTCCAATTTTAATGTCTTTTGTGAGGATGTTTTTATAATGCACACATTTGTCAGTTAGAAATTAGACTGATACCAATTCACATCACACAGGCCATTGAACAGAAACCAGCTGGCTATATATTTCTGTCACTACCAACCTGCAAGCTAGGGGTGAAGGGTCCGTTAGTCCACCACCAAATCCAGACAGCCAAGTTATAATTACCTCTAAATAGTACTCTCACAAACTGTGATATCTATTTGCCAGCTGGCTCTCAGAAATATGAAACCCTTCAAAAGTGGGAAGAACAAGTGAAAGAAAATCGAAGAAACTGTTTCCAGCTTGATAATTATTACTGAAATCTCTGCTGATCAACAGAAGTGAGGGAGAGAGAAGGAAATATGGAAAGTGCCTTTCAGAAAGTATAGTAAGAGTTGATCAAGAGAGCCAAATGATCACTGGAGAGGTAATAAATAAAAGACAATTCCATTAAACAACTTTATGTTCTGGAAACCCTTTTGATGTTCAAATACAAATAATGCTATATATTCTTTATACTCCTCAATTTTAGAATCTTTCTCACTCTCTTACATTCAAACTTATTTTTCCAATTAATTTTTCTGAATGTATAAGATAAAATTTAATTACACAAAAAAATGTCAAAAATACTCACGTTGACCCCAGCGCCCAGTTCTTGGGTTCAAATAATTTGGATAAAGCCCATTAGGACGGTCCATTTTTTGAAGTAACTTCCGAATGTGCATGACCTAAATTAAAGAAAAAGTCAGGATCACCAAAAATAACTTCGATTTACCTTCAACGACTGTTTAAATCTCAACTTTCTTCTTTAACAGCAATTTTTAATAATTTAATTAAACAGTCTTCTTGAGGGGTTTTCTAGATGGGCACCTTTTATTAGTAGCTACTCACTCAGAGGTATGTCATTAGTTCCAGTTCTAAATATGTGTACAAATAAAAAATACCTTGTTTTCACAAACTTCAGGTTTGGAAAACTATGTATTCTGGTAACATAAATGCAAAAAATGAAATAATTTGTCTGTTACCAAAAAGCATAATCGTAATCGATCAGACCCTGCCATTTCTAATCAGAGTCACAGTACACAACCTTGAATCTTCTTATGTTCCTAGACACTGAGCACAAAACTAACCTTGTTGTAGTAAACAGGGTCCCCAGTCAGGTAGCTGAGGTGGACAAATTCCATGTGAAGAGTACCAAATTCAGCCAGGATACTGCTGCCTGCAGAAGCCCAGCCCCAGTTTCGACCCACACCACTGAGTTGCAGCAGATGTAAAGCAAAGAACAAGAGGGAGAAGGAGAAAACAAACACCTGATCAGTGAAAGGATACCATCCATATTCAGACAGTGTATGTAGTAATCACATCACATCAGACTGAATATTAGAAGAGTTACACACGGCAAGTTGATATCAGACCAGATCTAACATGACAAGTGATTTCTTCTAAAAAGTGGGCTTCACAACTTGATGGTTCAAAACAAGCGTGTAGTTAAATAGCAAAAAGCTTTCCTTACAGCATGTGCTGGAGGTACAAACATGTAAGCTCTTTAAGTCCAGTCACAGGCAGAACCAACCAAAGCTCCAATTTAATACTTACAGTGGCATGTAACACTAAGCCTTAGGGTAGAAGTCAGGGTAGGTGGAGGGAGAGGTGGAGAGAAGGGGGCAATTGCCCTGTGCCCTTTAAATTGCTGCCTGGAGCACCATGCAGAGCACTCCAGATGACTCTAAAGGTGGGGGGACAGTGTGGCACACTCTGGGTGGCGCTGAGGGCTGGCTGCCTCTGGTGCTGCCACTTCCACCTGACGTAGAGGTCTGGGCTCGATGACCTCCTGAGGTCTCTTCCAGCCCTGGGATTCTATGATTCTATGATCCCTAGACCACTTTCTGCCGTACTTCTTCCTAAACAGACGCTTCCCATTCTGTATGTGAGAGACTGATTGTTCCTTCCTAAGTGAAATACTTTGCATTCATCCTTGCTGAATTTGGTGATGTCCTCTGTGGTAAACAAGTGTACAACAGCAGGTGCCCCCTGACACTATATGATGGCTTCCTGGCAAACAGGGAATTATTTTATTATTTGAATTATCATAATCCTTACAAGCTATAGTCATGGATCAGAATGTTACTATACTAGGGACTATAAACAGGGCTTGACAAATTAGCCAATCTACTCGCCCGTGGCAAGTAGATTTTAGGCGGGCGGGGGCACGCAGCACGGTCAACGCATGCGCAGCACGGTCTGCGCATGTTCAGCGTGCGCTTCCGCGCGGCTGGCAAGCAGGACTCGCCACCGCTTGGTGAGTCCTGGCTATAAAAATAAAGAACAAAAAGATGATCCCTGTCCCATGAAGCTCATAATCTAAGTATATAAAACAAAACAACACATGGATACAGAGAGGAAATTAAAAGGAAACAATGAAAAAATATTAGCCAGAATGATAGGCAGGCGTTGAATGCCTCCTTGTTCTTATATACAGTGTACTGTGACAGTGTTGTCCACTAGGATTTGCATGATGGAATTCTGCAGAACAGCCAGGAACATTATGCAGGCTGGTCTGAGAGCTCTCAACTGCAGGACACTCAGTCTCAGCTCCAGGACACTTTCAAGTTGATTGAGAATATGTCCCTTCAGGTGGGTAGGACACCCCAGGTTGTCCCTGAAGCATCCATTATAGAAGCATTGTCAAGGTGTAAACACAGAATATTAGGGTAACTTACATGCTACAATAGTTCTCTGAAAAGGACTCTTCACATTCCCATTCTCAGTATGCTCTGACCAATGCAGCTTGGATGGTGGAACCATCTGGTAGCAGCATCAGAGCACTCATATACCTCTTCTGCTCCTCCCCTCAGCGTTCAAGCACATACCGAGGATGTGGTTATAAAAGGGGGCAAGAGGCCAAATTCTGCCTCCATTCTTTCCATTGCTAATGCAGAGACTACGGGAGTCCACAGGAGAGGAGAAGATGGGTAGGGAGTGTGAATATGCAGAGTCCATTTTGAAGAACTCGAGTTACATGCAAGTAATCTTACTTTCTCAAGTATCTGCTACATAGTCCTACCCATGGTATACTTTGGCAAGCAGTATTCCTAGTATGAATGGAGAGAGGCAGAGCCCTAATTTAAAAGGAATAAAGTATCACTCTGCCAAACTGCACATCAGCTCTCACAAACATCTCTCACAAACAGCACAAACAGCTTTTCTGTTAAGTGAAAAGTGTGACTTGAACACCAAGTGGCAACTTTACCTATTTCAATAAGAGGAACAGATATTGCATCTGTCCTTGTAAAGTGAGCTCTTACACCTGCAGGATGAGAGTGGAATTAAATCTTATTCCTCCTCACACTGTTTGTCCCAAGGACCAAGAAGAACTTGCTTGACCCTTACTATACCCAGCAGAGGAAATAGAGAATATAGGAGAGGTACTAAAATCCTTAATCTTGTCCAGATAGCATGATAAAATTCCTTTATATCTACGTGCATGGGACTAGAAAAGAATATTGGCAAATTAATATGAAAATCTGAAGTTATTTCAGAAAGAAATCTTGGGATAAGGTCTAAAAACTACTTTGTTTTGTCCCTATGTTCTCTCCCCCCCTTTTTTCCCCTCCTCCACCCTTTCCTTATTTATTCTTGGATCTGGACTTCTAATACTCCAGCCATCTGAGGAAGTGGGTTGCGCTCATGAAAGCTCATGATACCATTTACATGTTTTGTTAGTCTTTAAGGTGCTTCTAGACTATTTGTTGTTTTTTAAAATTTTCCTGTTACAGACTAATTTGTCTACCCCTCTAAAGCAGACCAGCACTGGATGTTGCTTGTCTTTCCTACAAGTAAGAATCCAGAATGGACACACCAAAATTAATCAGTCAACACAGCAATTGCTTCTAGTGAAAACACATTAACAGTGTTATTCTTCACTGCCTGTTTACTAGTTCAGAGGAAGAAGAGGTGACAGGAAAGATTAGGGGAACTTGAAAATCACAGAAAGACCCTCTCAGAGGGTTTTGAGAAGACATGTTGGAAATGAAGGGAGGCAAAGGAAAAGCGTGTGGGGCAGCAGTCCACATTTTCAATTCAATTGTTTCATTTTAGTCTTTATGTTTGAACAATAATCTATACCCTAAGACAGGGGTCTCCAAACTGCGGCCCGGGGGCCGGATGCGGCCCGCGAGGGCCTCTCATCCGGCCCGTGGAGACCTTTTTGGATTCAAAGGCAGAAGAAGTGAGATTGTTTCAAAACCCATTTGAAGCAGATGTGGCCAGTTGCCCAGATGAACTGCAGCTGGAAGTCATTGAGTTGCAAGCAAATGACCTCCTTAGGGACAAGTTCAAAATAGGACTGGTGGGTTTTTACCAGTTTTTGCCCAAGGAAGACTTTCCTAATGTCAAAACTTTTGCATCAAGGTACCTTTCAATCTTTGGAACAACATACCTGTGTGAACAAACATTTTCAAGAATGAAATACGTGAAGAACAATTTGAGAACAAACTTGTCCGATGATAATCTCAGGTCACTGTTGATGTTAGGGACAACAAATCTAAAGCCAGAAATGTCTGCTATTTTGGCATCCAGGAAACAATTTCACCATTCACACTAATACAGGTGTTCATGTGTAGTGTATGAATGTGTTATTAAATAATAACTGAATAAAATAATATTAAATAAATAATTAAAAACAACATCCATGTTTTGATTGTTTTTTATTTGGACCTCAAGTGTGTAGTCGGCCCCCGAACTGCTGTTTGATAGTTAATGCGGCCCTCGGGCTGAAAAGTTTGGAGACCCCTGCTCTAAAGTATAAGGAGGGTCAGCTATCAAAGAATGTAGTTCACTAACCCTTGTGGCAGTTGTGGTTGCTATTATATTATGGACAGTTCACCTCAAGAGAGGTTCAATGGAGGAGACATAACTTAATATTAAGTTTAAGTCCCATGAAGGAAATGAGTTAGGTACTGGCAGGTACAAGTTTAATAAAACTCTTAACTCAGTTGTATGAAAATACAGATTAACTATCAATTGGCATATGAAACACCGTTATTGCTGCTAAGTGGATTTATTCTTGGATCTGGACTTCTAATACTCCAGCCATCTGAGGAAGTGGGTTGCGCTCATGAAAGTGGGTGACATTCAGACACCCACATAACAAACCTTTTCCATATGAAAAAGCATGATATTTTCTAGTGGACTGTTTCCAAGAGTCAATTAAAATATATTGCACATCAACAGAATGAGACTTTTCTAAATCTGTTCAAATCTCCATCATTCTCTGCAGGGACAGTAGGATAGTATCTTGTATTTTCCTTTGGAGAGGAGAAGTAAGTTGGTGTACTACTTCTGTCTTGCCCACACCAGAGCAACTATAATCATCTTGGCCCAAGCACCCATTCACCAAATGAAAAGGACCATAGTTCTCCCCAACTGACCAACTGAGCCTGCTCTTAAATACCAACTGCTCAGTTTTGTTTAACACAAAAGAAGATCTATGTTCAGGAAGCTCCAAATGCTGAAAATGTTCTGCTCACTGAATCCTTTAGTGAGCACTTCTGCACCTCAATGGAGGATTACCAATCTGCAATCTGGTTGTGATTTCCCACTGAATGAAAGGGAACCAGATATTGTGTGGGAACAACCAAAGCTGAGATGAAGAGTCTTGCCTATGTATTTAATACATTGCTGACACATTTTTCTTGACAACCTGAATTACAGAGTTCTGCACATGTGGGAGGTACAAACATGGGGGTTATAAAGAAAATGGCATTCTTGAATAGTCCATAACACCTTCAATGAAAAAAATGTGGAGATGGCACCCAACAGGAAACCAGATGTAACTATGACAGTATGAAGAGAAGATCTGAATAAAACTTTTTTGAGAAGCTGGGGATTCATCAGTTAGAAGCGACAGAGGAGGAGACCCTTGGGTGTCTGGGTCAATGTCTATGAGCCACCAACATGATGTGAGTATGATTAAAGGAAATGCATTACTAGGATGTATTAGGCAAGGCATTTCAGCAGATTTATTACTGGCATGGTACGATGCACTGGTAACATCTAAACTGGAATAGTGTGGACAATTCTGGTCACTCATTAAAGAAATATTAATTTAAACTGGAAAAGGTGCAGTGAAGAGCTATTAGGTTGACAAGACAAATGGAAGGCTGATTTTATGAGAGGAGATTGGAAAAGCTTCACTAGGGAAAGTAAAGAGCAATTTAAGATCAAGGAGAATGCTGGCACAAAAACAAATGGAT